TGATGAGGTTTTGGCAGTGGGCTAGGGCCGAGAGGTAGGAAGAGACGGAGAGTGTGTTTATTAGGATGCCGATGATAGGGGCTGTGGTGAGTTGGGTTAGGAGGGCGTAGCGGCGGCGGAGGAGTAGGGAGGTTGTGGAGGGGGAGATGCGGGGCGGATTCTGGGTCGGAGCGGAGATCGAAGAGGTTGGGAATATGTGGATGCTGCGGACGCGGGAGGAGAGGATGAGGAGGAGGGAGGTTGGTGGGGTGGAGACGTGGAAGATAGCGTATTCTTTGAGCCTCTCTGCGCCGCACTGATGCACGTCAGGCGGGAGAGTGCGGTTTGGCAGGAGGGAAGAGGGGTCATGGATGATGGCGGGCTGGAAAAGGTTGGTGTAGCCTTCTGCGAGAAGGCGAGGGGTAAGAGCCGGCAGGTTGTGGTGGTAGGGTATATCGGCCATCAAGCAGACATTTTCGTCCTTGGCTGGGTACGTCTGCTGGAAGCTTGCAACGGCTTCGTCGATGTCCAATGGTTTCGAAGTGAAGACGTAGATGACGGGTAGGCGTGCGGTGGGCGAGAGGCAAGACCGGCCATAGTGCACCACCACCTCCGCGTCCACATGCTCGGCAGCGATCTCATCGACGCAGCATGCGCCATAGGACGTGTCTGCTAGTATGCAGAGCCTCTCCTCGGTGTCCTCGTCGTCACCGGCGGACTTCGAGTGCGCTGCGTGGATATAATTGTCGTCGATAGTGAGACCGGGCAGGCTATCAGAGACTTCCACCGCTTGCGCCGAAACCCGTGATTGTCGCACCCGTCGTCTCTCGGCCTTCAAATCCTCTCTCAGCCATTCAAAGACCCTCGGCGCATCGACCAGCATCTCGTCCGGGAACTGAAGAGCGATCCTCTTCCATCTTCCTTCCCGGATCTCGCCGACGGTCCGCTTGATCTCATATTGCAAGTAGAGCTGCTCGTCGGACAGCTTCGCTTGAGTCACCAGAACGACCGGCGTAGGATCTTCGAATATGTGCTCGGCGGGCGTCGACAGTATTGGCGCTGAAGTTGTCGCCATCGTTAGATGCGACATACGATTTGTCAAAAAGTCGAGGGGTGATGTCGAAAGAAAGCGGAGCAGCGGAGAAACGTTTCTGCGGTCGGCCTGAATCAAGTTGTTTACTCCGATGTTGACAGACGCGCTTCCTCCAAGCAACACACACACACACACTTCGACATTCAACAAAGAACCGCATTGGAGACGGCCGCCATTGCCAAATACTCGCCCATCGACTAACGAGCAGCGATACATGTCAGTAGCTCATACACACATGATCTAGCCGCCGACAGCGCCATCAGACGCAGAACAGATGGCTTCCTCATCCAAGTCCCGCCTGTTCCACGAGCTCTCGCGCAGCCGCACCACCTCGCCCAACGAGTACGAGACCGCGGGCAGCTTCGACATGAACAATGACCAGATCCTGCACTCCACCGTCAACATGGACAATATCACTGCCCAGCCGCCATTGATCGATGATGAGCATCACAGCTATCTGGGCTCGGATGCGGGTAGCGAGGGCAGCACCGACATGTCCATCGAGCTCGGGCGAGGCGTGAAGAGAGGGGCGCGTGACAATGATGGTGATGTCTCGTCCAACATGATGTTCAACTTTGGTGGTGATGTCTCGTCCAACATGATGTTCAACTTTGGTGGTGACAGCCAGTACGAGATTACTGGCACGCCGCCGGTCCGCCCTCGCAACACCTCCCGCAAGAGCGACGACCTGCTGAGGAGACAGGCTTCCGTGCGGCACGCCACAGAAGCGGCGAAGAGCAGTCGCAAGCCAAGTACCACACAGCAGCGCCCGCTCTCCGAGGTATTGCAGCGGAACGCCGAGAGCGACGCGTCACTCAACGCCGAAGACTTTGCACAGCCGACCGTTACGTTCAATGCCCGCAATACGCGCTTTACTCGGTCTCGCCAGACATCAGCGGCCGAGCCAACGATGCCGCCACGCATCACGAGCGCGTCAGCGCAGAAGGACACACCTCGTCGCCAAGCGGTCAACAACCCGACAGTGCAATCTGCCACCTTCACCTCGAACTCATTCGCGCTACCAGATCTGCCCAACATCACCGAGCTGGTCTCTGGGGTCCGCAAAGACGGCACGCCGGTGTTCAATCGCACGACGAGTAAGTCTCGTTCTCGCTTCACCTCTGCGGGCAACTACAGGGCGCCACCGCAGACCCAACATGTACCCATCGAGAGCGTACCAATCCCGGATGAAGAGAAAGCCATCTTCGCGTCGCTACAAGTGCTTAAGGAGCGCGTCGACAGCCTGGAGATGGAGAAAGCCGAAGCCGAGAAGCAGACGGAAGAGTACGAAGACGAGATTATTGATTTGCGTAGCCAATTGCAAGCGGAGCGGCGCAGGCCGGATAGTGCACTCGGCTCGGATGAGGACGAGCGTGCTGCGGGGAAGTGGCGGATGGAGAAGACGAGGTTGCAGGCTTCTCTCAAGGCAGCTGAGGACCGGTTGGATCGTGCAGAGCGGAAGATTAGCGTTGGGGAGATTGCTGTCAAGAGGGTAACAAAGGAGAGGGACCAGCTGGTCAAGCAGATCGCGGTGGCGTACTGGGACTTTGAGGGATTGAAGGAGGAGAGTGAGAGTTTGGAGGAGCATTTTGGAGCGAGGTATGCGCAGTTGCAGGGTGAGCATGAGGATTTGCAGGAGGAAATGGAGGTGTTGAGGAAGGAAAACCAGGAGTTGCGAGTGCAGGTGGCGCAGAGCAGCGCGCAGCAGAGCGAGGAGACCCAGCAATGGGGACGCCAGGAGCAGGAGCGTATGAGCAAACTCGGGAAGCGCAAGGAGTCGGTCCCGGCGACGCGCGACATCACTCGCGAGGACCGGGAGGCGCGGGATCGCAGCCCACAGAGGCTAGTTACCTCGATTCGCGGCAAGAAGGAAGCCGTGCCTGCTCATAGTCAGGAGCGTACTACCAAGCGCACCTCAAGCGCGCCGACCAAAGAGCCACCAGTGGACCTCGCTTCGAAGATCGCACGCGAGGTCCAAAAGCTCCGGAGCGAAGCCAAGGCGGCGAAGGTGGTAGAGCAAGAACCAGCTCGTCAGGGCCAGAGTGCCAATCGTGCGCGATCGAAGTCCCAGCTTCGCCAGGCATCCGCAGGTGTCGAACGTCGTACTTCGCAATCCAAGCGTGCCGTTTCTGCTCCCATCGACACCGACTTGAGTGAGCCGGAGTCCACTACCGGGCGGGAGCTCACACAGGAGGCGCGGAAAACTCTGGAGGAGATGGTTATCCCCGCTCCATCTTTAGTTGATGAAGCCCACGAGGAGACGCGGGACATCACCATCCTTAGCGACTTCCCTTCTTTGCAGATGGCGCAATTGCGCAAAAAGATCGAGGAAGAGCACCTCGCGCAAAAGGCGGCAAAGAAGCGGAATGCTTCTGCTCCGGAGCTGCTGCAGCAGGAAGACACTGTCCGCTCGACACACATGGGTCTGCCGCGCAAATCTTCGCTGAAAGACGTCACTGCGGGCCTCGAGAATGGCACTGGACGCTTCAGTCTGGCCGATGTGGCCGTCGACGACGCGGCGGTCAAGGCGATGCGGACTGTCCGCGTGCAATCACCGCATACTTCCGATCCCTCACTTCTCCCGCACCAGCCGCAGGACGATATCGGCGACACATCTATGCTGAGCAACATCAGCAGACGCCGTCGTCGCGCTGCGAGTGAGGCAGAGGAGGGCATGACTTCCGCTTTCATCCTCCCAGACATCACGCTCTACAGCAGCACCCAGCCCCTTCCCACCACCACCAGTGCTGTCGGCATCGGCAAGTCCTGCGTCTCCCACGACGCCGCAACCTGCACTCTCTGCCAACCCGCCTCAGCTACCCTCTCGATTCCCGCCCTCATCCCCGTCACCGACCGCGACACTCCGCAGGACCCAGATATCACCGCCGCAACCATCCGGCCAGCGCAGTCCCCATCCGTGGCCCTCGCGACTGTGATCAAAACCCTCACGGACGAGATTACGCATCTGAAAGTCCTGCTCACGGCCCTGCAACGCAGGTACCAGCACCACGACCCGGCGTTGTCGAAACGGCAGCGCGTAGCCACTAGAGCGAAGATTGAGAAATTGGTTGCTGAGGTGGAGAGGCGGAGTGATCAGGTGTATGCGCTGTATGATGTCCTGGAGGGGCAGAAGGAGGTTGCTGCTCAGGCCGCGGCGTTCGGGGGAGCCGAGGCTGGTGCGAAGGGTTTGGATGAGCATGTGATGGGGGATACGTTGATGAGTCTTGGTTTAGATCCTGCGGATTTGGCTGGAAGGGTTGGGCGGAGTGCGCCGGAGCCGCTGGGAGGGTTCGATGGAGTGAGTGAGGGGAGTGGGGAGTTGGGGTGGGAGGGGTTGAGCGATTATGAGAGTGAGGAGGATGTGGATGTGGGGTTTGGTCGTGGTGAAGGGGAGAGGGAGAAGAGAAGGAGTGCGGCATTTTAGGGCCGGGCGGGCTTGGTTCGATTGGTCTTGGTATTGATACGGTGGTCTTTCTAGCGAGGCGTTTTGGCTGGATTGGGATCGGGTTGGGTTGGAAGAAAGGCGTTGGCGTCCACTTGCTGGTGCACATACCTACGCTACACACACCAAGCAACCTCTATGTGAGGTCGAGTCTCTGACCCCCGACAGCGAGCTTCGAATCCCCGGCCTTTGATCTCTCCCTTCTTGGGATTCGAGAACAGGTTGGGTTGAATCGGCTTGTCTGATGGGAGGTTGGATGTAGTCACTCCCTTTAGTACTTACATAGCTGAGTTGATATTCCTGCCCACACTGCCCATCATCGCATGATGCGTACTCTTCAGAGGAGTCAATCCTTTCATGCAGTACGTTGTGGTCGGTAGACAAATCGTACACGGCACTACCGAATGGAGTGATGTGAGGGCTTCGGACCCTCTATGGATTTGATGGATGTAGGATTATAATAGCAATATTTGAATTGTCTAGCGTGAGGTCGTTTAGCTCAGTTGGTTAGAGCGTGGTGCTAATAACGCCAAGGTCGCGAGTTCGACCGTACGTTTCACCTCCCGGTACTCTCCCGCCCTCACATCTAACATGCTCTCAGCTCGTAATGACCACAAGTCTCCTTTTTGGCTGTTTGCCCCTACTTCCACTCATCAGGTACACGTATTGCCATAGCAGTGTGTCACACAGCCAGCATGCAACACCTCTCTTCGTAGACACTCCGCAGGGCCAAGATGAGCATCTCCACGTGAGGTGTGACTTCACCACCCTCCCACTTCAAACCCATCGCGACTGGCCACTTTAGGTTCCAAGGCATCCATCTGACGCGCGCTCCAACGTGGGCGAATAGGCAATGCACCGCAATGCCGCATCAGCACGTTCCCAGCACAAACGGAGATGTACTGGCGTGTCTGAGCGGGCTGCGACGTGCTCGCCATAAACTTCACGCCCATCATTTCGGCATGACAATCACATTATGCATGCATCCGGTCATGCTCGAACGACGGATACCGCACGCTCGCACCCCCGGTGGTAAGCTCATACCGCAAACGGCGTTGTTCTAACGGGTATCCCCCGGCCCCAATAATGCCGATGCATCACCGACGTTCGATTCCGTTACCCTGCAACCGCTCCTCGGGAATGAGCTATTCACCCTGCTGCCAATACAGCTCCGATGGCTCACGGACGACGCCGTTTGGCCTTTCCGCGGCGGCATGCCACAACACGCTGCGCCTGCCCGTCGTGAAGCGTTGGCATGGCAGAATCCGTATTCATGTCCCGAGTGTTCTTGACCGTTCCGACATACTGGCTGCCAAGTCGTCTCAACGGTCTTCCAAGAAGGGCTGCTGCATGCGCGTCTGTCGGACCGCACAGGACGTCCGGGCAGGTCTGGTATCCGGCTATGTGCACAAAGGTCTGCTGTGCGGGTGTAGGCACGGCAACTGACGAGCATTTCATGGAGTCGCAACGGAAGAGTAAGCGTTGTCTCAGATGAGATCGCATTTACTCTGCTGCAGGCGTGTCTGCGCATGAGGTGATGCGGCCGCCTACCTTGTCTCTTGTGATTGACCATCTTTCTGCACTTGAGAGCCCTCTTCTTCCACATCTCTTCGCCATTCTTCACCCTCCATCATTCTCTCGTTCAACTTTGCAACTTTCATGGAAAAGCTCTCCACCCATCGCCGAAAGAAGAAATCAGCCATGGGTCCAACGGGGACTGACAGTCTGCCAGTCAGCGGAGATGACGGCGGTCCATCATCAGTCCACCATGTCGCAGCACCAAAGACCATCGGAAGCTCGTCTCTCGATGCGCTCCAGAGCACAGACTCGCGCAGGGTCATGGATATCGTCGATAAATTACGCCGAAGCGGACTCAGCGGCATATTGCAGCTCCCTCAACTTGTCGTCTCTGGCGACCAGTCCTCTGGCAAGAGCTCCGTACTTGAGGCAATCACGGAGATTCCATTCCCGCGCAAGGAGAATCTGTGCACTCGCTTTGCCACGGAGATCATACTTCGCCGTGCTACCACGACATCCATCAATACCAAGATCATTCCAGATAAGCAGCGCCCGAGCACAGAGAAGAAGCGCCTCGAGCAATTCAAGAGCACCATCGTGGACTTCGCTGAGCTGCCGAACCTGATGGAGGAGGCGACCAATCTCATGGGTCTCGGTGACGACGGCAGCGGGATTGCTCGAGCTTTCTCCCGCGACGTTTTGAGCATCGAGATTGCTGGTCCCGGCCGGCCGCATCTGACGCTGGTCGACTTGCCTGGCCTCATCCACTCAGAGAACAAGATGCAATCCAAGGAAGACGTTGCGCTCATTCAGGGGCTAGTCGATGACTACATTAGGGAGAAGCGAACCATCGTGAGAACATCCTACCGAATCCAAGATGACTCCATTACTGACTTTGCTACCGCACGTAGATCATGGCAGTTGTGTCAGCGAAGAACGACTATGCGAACCAGATCATCTTGAAGAAGTGTCGCGATATCGACCCGAAAGGCAACCGCACCGTCGGCATCATCACGAAGCCCGACTTCCTTGAGCCAGGCTCTGAGAACGAAGCATCCTGGATTGAGCTCGCGGAGAACAAGGACATCTTCTTCGAGCTTGGCTGGCACATGCTCAAGAACCGCTCTGACAAAGAAGCGAGCAAGAGCTTCACTGAGCGCAACGCCACCGAGGCGGCGTTCTTCGGTTCTGGTCGCTACCGTGATCTACCTCCGGAGATGCTGGGGATTGAGTCGCTCCGCGGTCGTCTCAGCCAGATGCTGTACAAGCATCTGAAAGCGGAACTCCCATCGCTGCAGAAGGAGCTCAACGAGAAGCATGACGAAGTGGTCAAGGAGCTGGAGAAGCTTGGCGAGAAGCGTGCCACTGCCCGTGATCAGCGCCGCTTCCTCACGAAGATCAGCCAGGACTATCAGGACGTGGCGAAAGCTGCGACTAACGGCCAGTACGAACACGACTTCTTCGGAAATCTCGACCCGGAGGCTTCTGTCGACCATGAGAGCAACATACGTCGCGTACGTGCTGTGGTTCAGTATCTCAATCTGCAATTCGCGAGCGCTATGAGGCAATATGGACACAAGCGTATCACCAATGCTAGCGGCGAGCTCAGCCCAGCTCTCGAAGACGACAAGAAGGCCGTCGAGCCCGCGCTTGATGAGGATTACGCTCAATTCTCTACATATCAGGTAGCTGAGAGACGTGCCGACGCCATCGAGCGTGTTCGCCGCATCCTTGTACGGTCCCGTGGCCGCGAGCTTCCAGGCACATTCAACCCTTTGCTCATCAGTCAACTCTTCTGGGAGCAGTCGCACCACTGGAAGGCTATCGCAGAGTTCCACATCGAGAAAGTGGCGCAAGTGTGTGCCAACTTTGTCGCTGCTGCCATCACCTGCACCGTGGCGGACGATGTGGCACATCGCCTCCAAGCTTTCACAGTCGACCCAGCGCTTGATGCGCGCCTGAAGCGTGCCAAAGCCGAACTCATCCGCATCATTGCCGACAATAAGCACCACCCTATCACGTATGATCCCAAGTACACGGCCATGGTGCAGGACACACGTCGCAAGAAGTCTGAATCTAAATTGAAGCGGATAGTAGACCAGGCAAAGATCTCAGTCTACAACGGCCTTTCGAAGGTTACCGAGCCATACCTCAAGCCTGACGTGCTTGACAGCGGTAAAGGTGATCTGCTGGAGCTGGACATGGACAAGACGTCCGCCGAGGATGCGCTGGACAGCCAGCAGGCGTACTACAAGGTAAACTTCCCCTTCGATACTCTCCATACCGATTCCAATCACTGACGCTCCTCCAGGAAGAAGTCAAGTACTTCATCAGCGCCGTCACGAAGCAAGTCGTCGAGCGCCACCTCATGCGTGATCTCGCCGCCGACACCATCTCGCCTACGCTCATTGGCGACATGACCGACGATGAGATCGCTTTCGTCGCTGCGGAGCCGGAGGAGACCACGCGCTTGCGTGGCAATCTGGAGACGAGGAAGGCGATGCTGGAGAAGGGGCAGGAGACGTTCAAGTCGGCGCTTGGGCTGTGCAAGTGAGGTGGAGTTGGTGCATGGGATCAGGATCCGAGTTTCTTTTGTTGGGCAACGGGGTACTGGCGATCGGGCGTAGGCATGCGAGAGGGATCGAAGTGCAACACTGGATTCGCATTGGGTATGCGCGACTCAAGTAGATAGAGATAACGACGCAAGATTTCACTGTACGACTGCAATATCATACCAACACCACTCCGCTCTACGCCGATAACGTTACAGCTTGCGCGCCCGCTCGAGATCCGGCAATGGATCTTCCCTGATCTTCAACACCACCCCCAGCAACATCACCTCTCTTCAACGCTCCGGATATGTCCGGAAAATTCTTGAACAGTCTCGGGTACACTCCTGGCTTCAATACTCATGTCCACACCAACGCCACTGCTTCCAAACCTCTTCCAGATTTCCTACTAGATTGCTCTTCATCTTGAATTTCCCCTGATAACGATCTCAGTGACTGTGGTCCCGACATGACCACCTGCACGCTAGATGCCGCTCATGCACAACGTACCGCCATTCTGGAGCAGGGTTGCTGGCACGTTGCATGCGCGAAGGCGGCTGAAAAGGCGCTGATGGTGATGACGGGATGTGCGCCGCATGCTGTCAAGTCCTGTCCTGTGCTGACTGCGTCAGATCATTCTGGAAGTCCACGGACTGGGCGCCGAAGAAGGTGAAGAGTCCGGGATTTTGCTGGCCGCCACCTTCCACGGCGCTCACTCCCGAACCCTGGGCTATGGCGTACTGGATTGAGTACCAGCGTGCTCTCCCATCACCAGCCAGCCTGGTATGGCATGAAGTGATGGAAGGCAATCAGTCATACCCAAAGAACCCAATGCACCTCCAGCACGAACAACAACCTTCCAATCGCCAGATAGGCCTCCGCGTTCTCGACAGCCATGTAATTTGTCAAGCCTGCAGGTACGGAAGGGTGGGCGTGGCCATTACGGCATTCGCATCCGGCGGCACCAAAGCGATGTACCTGGCGTCCGAAGTTCCAGGCAGACATGCGCCCGGAACGCACCCTCCCCGTGATGCAAATGGTCCGTTAGCTTAGTCCCTACGCCCTGGCGATACTCCTGCTCGCGGCCTCGCCCCGAGGCAGTCATTGCATCTTCTCCGCACCCGCGAATCTGAGCGTATTCCCACGAGGCCACCGAGATAAATTCTGGGATCACTGTCTGCAAGTTCGAGACAACATGACCCGGCCTCGAGGCTCCGCCCTGGTGGACTCTGATGTGGAGGAGCTTCTAGGAGCTTTTGGAACGACAACGCTTGGACCGGCGGAGCTCACGGGAGTATGGCGCCGTGGCTGGACAAGTTGACAACTTCGATCCGAGAGGGCGGAAATGTGGTCCCAGATCGGACTTCTCCGTCCATCGCCACAACTCATGCCTGTTCTCCAGGGTCATGGTCCGCTGAAGAAGACTCGACGAGGTCCAGCGCTTCATCACTAACTGCCAGCTTCTCGAGCATGCGCGCAAGGAGGCGCTCCGAATTGATCTGTCCA